TCTTCATGCAATATTTAATGCTCACAAACATGTAATAATGCTTGTGCAAAAGTTTCTTAATCATCACATTGTAACAATAGTGCAATATGTTTGGACTATAGCAACAAAGTATGTGTGCATGTGCACACGCACTGTAAATGTTATGTGTATGCAGATTTATTTGTTTACTTATTGGAGTTATTGGCATCTTTCCATAGCATTTTAAGCCCTCTAATCATTGGAAGCAAGGTAGTTTACAAGTCAGTGTCAAGCTTAGATTTTTGTGTAGAACCAGGATGACATTTTTCAGACTAATCATTTATTTGTTGAAAAATGGACCAAAGCCAGTCATGAATTCATGCCAGTTTTAGTAAACAGTTTCGATCAGAATAAACAAGCAAATAAAAAATAAAACATTTTAAAAAATAAATGTTTCCTGTTTTCTCATTTTGAGGTGACATTTAAAACTAAACGTGTTCAATTTTTTTTTAATCAGTTAAATTCCCCCAAACTAAAAATATTTTATTTTGGGTCAACTGTTTTGTTCTGGTGAGAAAACTAAAATGATTCCCTTCAGGCCAACACTAAGCCTTCTTTTAAATTTTTCATTCAGCCACTGAACTAAAAAATCAATTATTCACACAGCTCTGCTCTGGCTTCCTAAATCCAAAGGGTCTTGGCTGACTATAGATATATCACCATGTGTCAGCTCATGGGGAGACTAGCTTCATCCTGCTCGACAGTGACACTCAGTGGCCAATTAAACAAAATATTTGTAGTGTTCTGAGTGAGCAAGAGAGAGCTGTGAAGCAGGAGAGAAATGCCTCAGCCATTCAGCAAGTTGGATGTTATCTACCTTAGCAAAAGAACAAGAAATCTCATTTTAATGATGCTGAATTGCTCTTAAATACCATATATTCTTGCATATGCCTTGCTACTTTATTTTATAATAATAGGCAATTTAATTTTAAGAGGTAGGATGAAGTAGAAAAATATTCCCTGCAGAAACTGAGTAGCAGCAGCCTGAGGGCTGACTTTTTTCAGCTGTAGGCATTAGGTAGCACCTGCAGACAGATCCAGCACACTGAGTGTGATGCTGTGCTGGCCTGCGCCTGACTCACACCACTGGGTCCAACTCCACATGCTGGCCTCAGCCACAAACTAATCCTAGGTGCCAGCCCAATCCAGAGCAAGAAACTATGTCATCTGGCTGACGGGCTTTCTACAAGTCCAGACATTTTGTGGGAAGGGAGCAGTGGCAACATCAGTAGTCCTGGTTCTCAGAGATGTTTCACACAACTACCATGCCCCCACTGCCAAATTTATGGATGCATGGGGATCTGATTTTCTTGCCTATACTGCACACTTGAGGTTTCACCAGCTTATTTTGGTTAAAGAAAAAAGGGTTTTACGCGGTGATGACTGTTAAGACTATCACTGTAAAAGAATAATGTGAATTGCATATTAGAGGATTACGTCTTGTAAGTTTTCAGCTGCTTTTCGCTTTTGGGAGTAAAGTCCAGCCAAAAGAGCCTGAAGAGAATTAGGAAGTCATGAAATCCATATATAGCTTGCAATTGCAGTAGTACATCTAAAAGAAATGTATCTAACTCTTTATTTTTTTTCTTAGAAAAAAGCACATCTATAGCTTACTTCTTAAATTTTAAACTTTTTTTAAATGAGAGGTATTGTTGTTGATTGTTCTCCATCAGTTGGGTAAAGGCAAGTTGATTTCGATTCAGGTAAATCATTTATGCTCTTGAACTTGCCAGATGCTCCAACGTGATAGGTTTATCAAAAGCTGTATTATGGGGGGGTATTTTTCTCTGTGAAGACTAAACAGAAATGCTTAGTCCTATCAATGATACCCCTGAACACTGGTTCCATTTAAAAACATTTAAAACCATTCTGACCCATTTAAAAGCTCCTTCCTTACAGAAGCTAAAAACTCATTATCTGTTCATTAAGCTGCCTGACCACCTAGTTTGCAAGATGGTGATAATCTCTCCATCCCTCTGTTGAACTGTCTATAAAGATTTTGACCAGTTGCCTACATAAGACAAAGAATAGACTCACTTCATATTTCCAGCCACCCTCCTTCCCTCATGCACAGAATAACAGAAATATTTGCAGCTAGTTTCAAACAGCCTACAGCACTTTTCTTAGATTACCTGTCTTGATATCCATTAGCTAGAAGAGTGATCTGTCCTGGAAGTTTGTCCGTCATTTGCATCACGTAGATGATTTTGTTTCAACCTTTGTGTTTTAAAGAACTATGGAGTCAAAAGATGCAAGGAAAACATTATCTTACTGTTACTTTGTTTTTCCCGTCTCTGGATTTTCTGAACAATACCCATGTGCAGAGCTGGAGGGAAAATTTCCTGCTAAGCAGAGCTTGGTTTTCTTTATGGGCCAATCCTATTTCCATCAAATTCAATTACAAAGCTTCCACTGATGTCAATGGCATAGGGCAAAGCACTGGGATACATCTTGCAACATAGAGAAGAACACACTGACATTCCTGGCAGCAATCTTTCCCAAATCAGATGCTAAGCACAGATACAGCACTGAAAAGAAGCACACACAAGACCAGGACACTGAAACTTTCCACGGTTGCTGCAACTTCTATAATTTATTCTTCTTGCCTGTTCAAAAAAATGCATTTAACTGCAAATGACACCTCTTTGTCTGTGTTTTAGTGCTTAAATTAAAATCTGCAATATAAAATCTGTTATATGCCCATTGTTGGATTATAAAATTATTTAATTTGCTACTTGGTGGACAGTCTATGCAAGACATTTACTGCAGAGCTGCCTAATCAGTTGTCCAGTAAGTGTCTCAGCATCTACAGGGTAGTACTAGTAAATACAAGTACTGTTCTGCTGCAGAGTTTTTTAGTGTGCAGCATCACACGTGTGGATGCTAACTGGGCTGGCTGGGGCGTGAGGGTGCTTCATTGTGGGGGCTGCCTGCCTGCTAGGCCTGCACTGAAGCACCCTTGTGCCCCAGCCACTGCCAGCCCCTCCACAGCACATTGAGCCTGGCAGGAGCAGTCCCAGGGTGCCAGGCTTACCCCTGAAGTTCCCTTGCCAGCCGGGGCTGCTCTGACCCAGCTCAGTGCGCTGTGGTCCAGAGCATACGATCAAACGGTGCACCCAGGAGCAATGAACTGTGGCACAATAAGTGCCGGAGTTTATTGATTCAAATTAATTACATGCGTAGACACACCCAGTAAGAAATATTCATTTAGGTCTCCATCTAAAGCCCATTAAAGGTCACAGAGTCCCACTGATGTTAACAAACTTCAGATCAGGCCCTTGTACTTAGATTGAGCAAACAACTCACACAAGCACATGATAATTTTAAGCAGAGATAATCAGGCTTAGGATTCCTTATCTAATAAAAGTTCTTCATGCTCACAAAGTACAGGAAAGCATAATTAAAATTACTAAGGACATCTTCAAGAAAACAGTGTTATAGGGCCTTAACCAGCAAAGCATTTAATCATGCATGTAACTTTAAGTATATGAGTAATCAAACTAAAACTGGGGCCATAGTACTCAAAATATATTAGCTTATTTTTCAGGCACATCACAACCTTTTCCTGACAGACATAATATATTTTATTATAATGTCATTCTTATAAATAAATAATACTAGAGAAGCTCTTCACTATACTCTAATTTTCTTAGGCTCAGAGTTTTTATGTCTTTCTCTGCCTCATTTCCATTAATACAATTAGTCCAATTAGTACCACCGATATAATGGGGCTTTGGTCTTGGTCATCATACAAGAGAAGCAGGATCCTCCTTTAGTAAGGATCAAGAACAAAGAACAAAGAAAATCCACAAAGACACTCATATCTGTATATTTAGGAAAAAACACTACTTCAAAGAAAAGCCCTCATGAGCACTACTGGCCCTTTACCTTTTTGTTGTCAAGGACCAACATAAATAAAGATGTATTTAGCGCAATTAGACCTTCAAAATGTATCACATGTATCAAGCACGGTGTCAGGCATCATTTGATTTCCAGATGTCTTTCATATTCCTTCTCACCGTGAGTCAAATCCTATGGTCTTTATTCAGAACCTCATTTTCAAACATGGATCGTTGCCTTACATAGGAAACTTGAGTCCAGATTTTGACACAAGTGATGAATTGTGTACTTCATTCAGCACTTAGGTGTCTAGAATCAATATGGGGGTATCAAAGTCTCAGGAAACAAGCCCAATTTTATGCACTTGAGTTTGAAAATTGGGTCCTTAGCCCTTATGAATCTCAGCTAAAGAAGGAATAAGCAGCAACTGAATAAGTACTCAAAGATTTGGCTAATAGTTTTCCACCTGCACATAATTTTTTATTTATTTTTTATTCTATAATTAAGTAAAAAATGTTGAATTGAAACTACAATTTTTGCCTGACAACATACATTGATGTCAGAAGAAAGAGATGACTTCACTTCAGAATCAAATATAAAGGGAAAGAACCAACAGTGTGAAAGAGAAAGCTTTTGTTAAAATGCAGCTATCTTCTGAGAGACCAAATTTAGCAAGAATAGCTCTTACTTTGTGATAGCAAAGGGATGTGAGAATAAATACAGTACCACCAGAGTTTCTTTCTCCCTATAATCTGTTTTTTTTCTAAATTGCTTGTGGCATGCAAATCTTTCTTTTAATTCCCCCTATTCTCTTACCAAAGAGAGAGTGTGACAGCACAAGAATGCTCTCTTGGGCATCATTCTCCATTCTTGTCCTACTTTGCTTGAGATGTTGGTTATTACCCAATAAAAACTCCCCGGGGGTCAATTGCCAGCCTGTATCAATTACATATCTCCATTGAATACATCTGGCAGCTTACACTGGCTGTAGATCTGCCTCTAGATGTTATGTGGTGGAAGAAGGAGAGACATGGTTGCCCTTAAACACTTTCTATTGCCTTGGTTCACTAAATTATTCACTAAAGAATTACTTGAGCATGCATCATAGTTTCTTTACAAAGTATGGAGACAGAGTCTATTTGGACATGATGATATTAATTTATTGAAAGTAACACCAGAAAGTTTTTATGGGCAACCCTTATACTTTTAATAATTAATGTTTAAATAATTAAAAGAATTGTCTGTAATCAATAGAGGACATGATCTTCTTTTAGATAAAAGAGACCTCTAGAATATTGACTTGAACCGTAATAAAAAAGGCACAGACAAATGTTATTTGGTATAAATTAATGACGTGATAATGCTCAGTATACTCTCATTTCTCTCTCTCTCATGCTCAAAGTATTCACCAGACATGAAATGTATGACAGTCAGAATGAAACAATGAATGATGTCCAATGATTTCATTGTAGTTGCTCAGTCATGGCACTGGCATTTTAATATGAGCTCTATACCTTACAACAATTTGATTGACTCTTTCTTGTTTGTCCACAAAAGATTTCTCATTTAGAACTGGCCAACAACAGTAAGACATTATCCTGCTGACAGAAGCTATTCCTTTCAGTCAATGGGGCCCCTTACCAAACATAGGTTTATACGTGCATTTAACCCAGTTAGTTTTTTTATTCGACTGAGTGACATCCTGCTCCAGAATTCAGCTGAGGAGAGCTGTCTATGTCTCCTTCTTGTTTTCATTCCCCATATTGCTCATGGGGAGGAAGTGACAAAGGATTTTGACTCTGCCTAGCTGCCTGTAGTAATGCCTATCTATAACATAATTGTTCCCTTCCAAGTTTTAGGGTGCTACTCCTGTACATCAGATAAATAGAACCTGGGTACTCCTTGAGCATGCTCAATGGAAACTGTATGAGCTCACTGTCAAAATCCTAGTCCCTACATACGACAATTTTCCAAGATAGGTTAGATACCACTCAGTAGCTGGGATGAATGTTGGGCTTGTCTACCCACTCCCCTGTTCCTTCACTGCCTCTCCTGTTCATCACTGTTCAGGAGACTTACTCCAGCGTACTATTGAAGTAACTATTGAACTTAAACAATATTCCATATGGTTATAGAGGGGAGATCCTCAACCTGGACTGAAGCTGACATTCAGTGCCCTGAGAGATGCTCCTGTGAGAGCCTTTTGACTCCATGACTTTCCTATATAGAACAGCTTAGAAAAGTATTGTATAGCAGGGTGACTCCTTTATTGATCAGATCATCCTTAAGAGACATTAATGCTCATATCAGCTAATACAGCTTCCAGATCATAGGTGGCTTCGAATATTGGTTGTTCAACTGGACCTTCCAAAAGCTGTGTGTTTCAGAGCAGGGCCAGGCTCTAAGCATAAATAAAGCAATGTGTAGTTTGGAGTCTCTGGTTTTTTAAACCCTGATGTCACATGCAATCAGTCACTCCTAAGCTAGCCCTATTTCCTTCTACAGCAATGGTCCTAGAAGAAAAGACTATTTTTGGCCTGATCTTCTTACTGGAGAGAAGCAGTCCTCTAGGTAGCATGCACAACATCGACTTAGTGAGACTGAGGGCAGGTCAGTTAATTTCCCTGTAACTTAGATTCCCTATTTTTAAAAGAGGGATTAGCGATACTTTACTCATGCTGGTGATATTCTGAGATCTGGGAATGAAAGTCAGTACTATGTATGATTGTTGTTATCCTGACAGCTCTGGGCTCTATGTAACATAAGGCCAACCATGACTAAGAAAAGACTCCATTCAAAAGTATTGAATTTTAATTTTAAACCTGTGATTAGTTTCCAGTTCTTATATAGTGGCTGTTGTGTCATTCACACTTTGAGTAACAATAAACCCTACAATGCTAGCTGAAAAGAGGGATGAACTACATGACCTTTTACTTTGTTAGAGTCATTCAACCATTGAGTTTGATGCAATACTCATTTCAACTGTCTAGGGCAGGAAAATCCCAATGCTACATTAGATATCAAGTTCACTTTTCAATTATTTATTGTAACTTCAGCTAAACCATCATTAATGTTATCCAGCACTTGGCTGCTGGATCAGTACTGTATAGGCTTTATCAACAGCACAGTTTATTTTGAAGAAAAATGTAAGTAAAAGATGGAGAACAAAATGATAGAATAAGGATGTGTGCGCAGTAATTGAGGTCCATACTCCTCCTGGGCTCTTCTAGAACAGTGTCTCCATCATACTGACACCCACTGCTCTCTTTCTTTGTCCTTATTGTTCACTGGCAGAAAATTAGAATCAGGTCTCTGTGCTTAGAGCAAAAGAAAGGTGAAGTCTGAAAAAATGCCCCTAAAATATCCTCCCAGGGAAAAGAAAGGCTCCTGAAAATAAATCCTTGGGGTTCCAGCACAGACAAGTATGAGAATTTATTTGTTTCCCAAACCATTCTAGCTTGATTAGCCCTGGAAGTTATAACACTGAAATAGTGTCCTCATAAGAACACCTTGGTGAAGGTTGTCTTTCCACACATCAGTGTCCCCCTCTCCCTGCTGCAGTGGGTGCATCCCTAGGAGTTGCACTCTTCACAGTGGCAGGAGAGGATGTAGCGGTAGGTGGCAGTAAGCCGCATGCCACCAGAGCAGCGTAATCGCATTGCCTTCAGCTTGGAGGTCTGGGGTCGGCAGCAGTGACAAGTAGAACGGAAAGGCTGCTTCAGGACTGTGCTGAAGGAGACCATTGGCTCAGAGCGTGAAGTCTGACTGCAACGTCCCTCACAGCGAGCCAGGAGCACCATCTACAAAATGAAACAGAGAATAGTTAGGAAATGTCTTGCAGGTATCAAATTTATACCTGATTAGTAACTGTGCAATAACTATTACCCTCAGGATTGGTGGGGAGGTGGAATGTTAAAAGGCTCCTTGTCCTGCTTGAAACTCAGACAGGACTAGAAATCTGCTAACAAATTTGGCCCATCTGATGATTTACACTAGCTATAACAACAAGAGTGATATTGAGTGCACATGGATGGATTTTTCTCTTTCAGTAACTATTGAAATAACTGACCTTGACAAAGTTCTCATAGGCACTGGATAATCAAATATTGACTAACCTGACCTTCTGGTACTGGAAAAAGTTGGATGTGGGTGTTTGTGAGAATGCAGCATCACTGGATTGGCACAAAGGAAAAAATAAAACCATATTGTAAAATATGACTGATGAAGGGTTTAATGGAGAGTAGTGAGAATAAAAATCTGTTTCTTTCCTAGACTGAGAAGAAGGAGACCAAGTCCTGCAGATTAGATCACTGACACTTCCTCTTTGGGGTCAGTCTGCTTAGATAAAAGGATAATGCATCTGTTAATAAATTCTCAATATTACAGCTATTCTTTTTGCCATGCAGGAATTGACTGATGAGTCATTTTGCACATTGTACCAAGATGGTTTGTGTGTGTAGTCTGCATCATGATCTATGACTGAACATAGGATTCTGGCATTAGTATCAGATGAAATATTCCTTATTAGTTCTGTGAACTTCGTCTCTCTAATGCCTTCCCTCTCAATTTTATCTAAAGAAATGTGAATGTGACATGTGGCAGGTGCAGAGATCCCACCTCAGGAACACAGCTGGGTATTCGTATCCCTCCGCTGTTTCCACCACGTGAGGCGGGCCAGTAGGGGGTGCTCCTGCGTTGAGCTACCCACCTCCCTGTGCCCGACCACCTTCCAGGCTCCGAATGCCTCCCTAGGGGCGCCTTATGTCCAGCTGACCCCTCTCCCGGAGCACACTCGCTAGTCTGGGGGTAACGTGCCGCCACCACCCCAAGAATGGACTGTCTCGCGGCCCTGTGTCCTTGGGGTAACACAGGCCTAAAGTCCCACGGGTACTCAACCCAGTACAGGCACTTGGGGTACTTCCCCAAGTCCGGGGGCAAAAAGGTATAGTCTCCCTTAGTCCACAGACCTAAGGGGTCTCTTAGGCATAATTTAGACCCACCCCTCAATAAGTCTCCCACACCAGTCAAAAAGGAGAACTTTATTGATTACAGGGGGTAGGGTAAACTAGGGTACAGGATAGAGCAATATCTAGAAATCCTAAAGAGCAAACAGTCTGGCTGTGGTAGCCTTTTGATTACGCATCTGTGATACTTCCAGCTAAATATCTAATCAGATTGAGTAGCTTACTCACAAGCATCTTCCAAAGGCAGGTGAAGTTTCCCTTTGGAGGCAGGCGGTTCCTAGCTCGTGAGTTTGGGGGGAGAGAGCCAGTTTCAGATGTTAAGGCGTCTCTCTGTCCCCTGCCTGGCTGCTGCGTCACCTCATGGCTGGAGAGACCGCCTCTTTCCCCGTCCTAACTTCTATAGCCCCTGTGACCTCATTCACCTGGGCCAGCGGAGGTCAGCCCCAGTTGGCTGTCAGCCAACCAATCTGAAATGCATCACCTGTTACCGGGCAGAACCCAGCTCCCCAGGTAGAAACCCCTTACCCAGGTAAGTGATGCAAGTCAGGTAAGCAGAGGGAGCAGGTTTCCCCCTCCCTCAGGAATGCAGCCAGCTCCAGTTCCCTAAAGAGACAGGCTGAGGGTGTGGTCCCCTGTGCGCTGGGCCCATCCTAACTGAATGGTCACAGCACAGAGATTTAAATCACAGTGTCACAGGGCAGAGATTTTTGGGGAGAAACCAAGGTGGCTTTCTGCCACATGACATGCTACTAAGGAATCAGCACTTGACATACATATACAAATACCAGAGCTACTCAATTAACTGTACTTATGTTACATGGCTGCTTCCTAATGTTAACTGTTGTACAGTCTTCACTGCCCAGCAGTAGTCATATATGCTAGCACTTTCTCCATTTGTTCCAAAGACAAAACAAGACTTGTCTATCTTCAGTGAACATAATTAAAATATCATTCTTCTGCAAGCTTAAATCTAGAATGAGAATCAGAGTTCTTTCACCTCTATCTGCTTCCTTACGTATGTGGCACTTGAGGGTTTTTTAGATGACAGAAAGGTGCTTTTAAAAATGGCATAGGTAGCTAACTCCAAAGTTAGCTGATTTAGTCTGAAACTCCCATTTAAAACCTCAAGCGGATACAGTATTTAATATCTGCAAAACACTGTAAAAACTTTAAAGACATTCAATATTCCCTGTATGTATATATGTGGTTTGAAGGGATGTTTCAAACATCATTATTTAACTCAAGTTAGCTAACCTGGTTTTAAAATACAACTTCCTTTGTGTTTAGCCAAATCTAAACAGTCCTAGCAGATCCTTGATTTCTCGCCACTGCTGTACAGCAGGTTCTTTGGAAAGGATATACATGGCTTATCTCATCTTTATTTGTTTCTTGGTATGTAACATGTCCATGTCTACTCATGGCTCATGTGGTGGAGGAAGAGAAGGCACAGGAAGACTTCAAAACTTTTAGGAAAACTCAGTAATAAGCTTTCAAATTCAGCAGAGAGTTTAGATTGTAAGCAGACACTTTCAAGGAGATCTTTTCGTAGACATGGTCTATAAATATGAGGATTAGGATTGTCCATAGTATTTCTAAAGTGTGCATTTCTCATAGTTGTCCTCAAAAGCCGGCTGTAATGACATCCTGCTCTATTAACTAGAAATATTACATCTTATCCAACCAAAAGTTTTGATCTGCTTGGGCAGTTTTGACTTTAGGACTTGAATTTCAGGAAGCTGAGGGTCAGCGTCTAAAAGCAGTCGTTAAAGCATATTAATATTGTGTGTCGTCTGACTTGGGACTAAAGTTAATCCCAAGTCAGTCCACACACACAGTGTTACTGCACAGTAAGGTGTCTGTGCAGTAACTAACCAGGTGTAAATTTGATATTACCTTTCTTCTATGCCACCTGGACTATTATTGCAGAAAAGGTTTTTGAGACCGATACAACACATTTCAACTGCAAAATTACAAAATAGGCTGCATGAAGAATTGTCTTGTAAAGGATAACTGTAATGGTTGGTGACCTTTACTCATTTCTACCCCCAAAATGTATCACCCGTTTCTACACCTAAACTTGCAGGTTTTGCAAAAAAGCAACATTAAACAATGGAACTGGGGAATGGGACTGGGAGACAGAATAAGTGTTATGTGATACAAATACAAGAAGAAAGTTTTGACATGTCAATATCAGTACTTCATAGATTTCTTATTAAAATAGCTTTTTTCACAAAAATAATCAATACTCTCTTTTTTCAGTAAATCCACATTTAGCTTTTATTATTGTTTATGATAGTACATTTAGCATAATGATTTAAAGACACATTGTGCCAAACTTTGTAGATTATGTTATTGCTGATTTTGTTTATACTCCTAGAGATTACTACATTTTATTATTTTTTAATATTCTCTAAAACTAGGCTGAGTGGGTTTTTTTCCTGTATCCTATACTTTAGATGACAAGGTAAATTTACAAGTGGCACTATAACATGGGTATCATATACATTTGGGGGAAGAGAAAATACTCTGATCTCACCCTGACATGGCCTTTTAAACATTTAGATGTACTAGAAATCATAGAAAATTAAGGGTGAAAGGGACCTCAGGAGGTCATCCAGTCCAACCTCCTGCTCAAAGCAGGACCATCTCCAACTAAATCATCCCACCCAAGGCTTTGTCTACCTGGGTCTTAAAAACCTCCAAGGATGGAGATTCCCCTGTTCCAGTGTTTTACTACCCTCCTAGTGAGAGAATTCTTCCTAATCTCTAACCTAAACTTCCCTTGCTGCAACTTGAGACCATTGCTCCTTGTTCTGTCAGCTGCCGTTACTGAGAACAGCTTAGCTCTTTTAAACCCCACTTCAGGTAGCTGAAGGTTGCTATTAAATCCCCTCTCACTTTTCTCTTCTCTAGACTAAATAGGCCCAATTCCCTCAGACTTCCCTCATCAGTCATGTCCCCAGCCCTGTCAACATTTTTGTTGCCCTCCGCTGGAATCTCTACAATTTACCTACATCCTTCCTGTAGTGGGGGCCAACCTGAGTTTTTCAGGTTGGCCCACAAAGGCCAACGTAACTTAACCTCCTCTACATAAATCCAGAACAGTACCAGTATATGTTGGCAAGTGTGCAAATGAGCTGGAAATAGCATGTACTTCAAAAGCTTTGTTTGCCATTTAATCAATTGCTGCAGCTGTTTATTGCATCGTACACTATGGTGCAATAGAGATTATCACCTAAACAATTAGTAGTGATATGATGGCATAGCACAGTAATAGAGTAAGTGTATATATAGTAAAAATATGTGGGTATTTTATAACCTGATATCCAGCCTTCCAACCCCCACTCCTTTTCCACACAAAACCATGTACATATCACATTGTAATGCTATTCCCGGAAGTACAGTACTATTTTCCTAATGCTATATAGGAACAATGGAGAGGATTAGGATTGCTCCTGTGTACAGTTAATGGAACAACTGAGCAACCATGGGTGAAGACAGAAGTGCAGCTCCCCGCTGTAACAGAACACTTTGCAGGAAGTGCTCTGAGTTACAACAATCTCCTGGAACAAACAGAAGTTCACTTAATTTCAGGAGCCAGGGGAATCTAGCTGTTGTCCAGGAGCCTGCAGCCAGTTTCCCTTACTAATGGCCCCTCCTCTCTCCCAGACTGTCCCTGTTTCAGAATGGAAGGGAGAAAAGGGAGCTAGTTTTAGGGGTTCCCCAGTCAGCTCTGGAGGGTGGGGTGGGTGAATTGGAGTGTCATCCCCCCGTCCCCTCCGGTCTCCAATAAGTGCCATAAGTGTCAGTATTGTAATATTGTAATTCAGGAAGCATTGGGCACATACGCGCATTTTAGTTAATGAACATTAAATCTAGTACCTCCATTAGTTAATGCGCATTAAGACAGGTTAATGCACATTTACCTAGTATCTCACAATGGGTGTCATAGATGTGTTCCGGGAGCATATGTGTGTGTGTGTGTGCGCGTGTGTGTGTGTGCGCACATGTGCGCATGCGTGCATGCGCAGGGGGTAGGAGATGCTTTAATTAGAGTGGCTCTAAGAGCCGCTATAATTAAAGCACCCAGAGTGTCACGTGCATCAGTGATCCCACGCTGAAAAATAGCAGCAGGGTCGCTTTAACTAAAGCTCATTGAATCACCAATGTCTCACTGAATGAGCAACATGACACTGGCGTCTGCTAGAGCTGGTAATTACCATGCTCCAAAAGACTCAATTAATCTAGTCCACTCTAACTGTAATTAAAGCATATCAGAGCAGTCTCCCTGCAGGTGTATAGGTGCCCAACAGGGCTTCTATACACTTGCAGGGAGCCTGCTCTGACACCCTGGAAATTCAGCACATTGGAGCAGACTTGATTAATTGAGTCTGACAGAGCAAAGAAATTAATGTGCTGCAGCAGACTCTAGCATCATATGCATCAGCGTCCCTGTGCTGAAAAACGGCGGTGGGGCACTGTGAACTAAAGCTTGTTCAATGTGCTTTAGTTCAAATTAACCTGCTGCCATTTTTCAGGGCAGAGATTCTGATACACATGACACTTGGGCACTTTTAATTAGTGCGGCTCGTTAATTAAATCAACCCCCAGGCCTCCCATGTAAAAATGCCTATAGTTTAAGTGGCACTTTAATGTACATTAAAATAGGCTAATGTGCATTAAAGTGCACGTTTAAATGCTACCATTGTTTCCTGGAAAATTGAAGAGACATGCTTTAGAGACCAATAAGACTTAATGACAAAGATGAGATAAAACCTCAGACTGATCAGGGAATTCAATTTATTATGGAAGGAAAGAAATGTTTTCTCTGTCAAAGGAGAACGCTGTTTTTCAGACAGGCATGCCTTTCTGTCTCTCTGTGGTATCTTTTTTACATACTGAACAGAATATTAAGTTACTACAGTACTCTGCATTGATTTTTCACCTCTGGAAATCTATGGTAAACATCTGGTAAGTGGGATTTGATTGATCAAGTTCCATTTGGTGGATGTGCCTAAATTTAAAAAAAAAAAACTTTCTACGGGAGAGGCAAAGCATTTTTATTAGCATACTGCAGGACATAACCGAGTACCAACCAAGAACAGATGAGAATACCTAAGAAAGATTTTCCCTTTCAATTTTGTTGCTCTGTAAGCCAGTAGCAAAGATAAGAAAGATCAAGAAAGATCTTTGAAGAACCTCTGAAGAACCATGTGGAAAAGTGGGTGAGCAGGAGGACAAATCCATCACAGAAAAGTTAGGATCAGAATCTCTGGCTCAAATTATCAGGTTATCAGTGAGTTCTACAAAGGAACAAGACAAAGGGTAACTAAGCGATATAGGTAGACTTGGTGAGTGGCACATATATAAGAGATATACATGTATTTTTTCATACCAACATATTGATAAGGCACTTCTTTAAATACATTCTCAGTCCAATCTGCAAAAGGGAATCCAATATTGTGCTAGTAGCATACAGTATCTCCAGGATAGAATACAATGTCATTCACCTATCAGCAATATCCTTGAACCCTAACATCTTAACTAGCAAAGCTGGTTGAAGAACTGAAAAAAAAGTTTTATAGGAAATTTCAAGGTTCTTTCCATTTTTCAGGTCTGAAGTAGAATTGATTATCAATTTACATGGCACAGCCCTACATTAAATTGACCTTAAGGGCAGGGTTAGAGCCCCTTCTGTTTATCACCTTTTGTTTGTACTTTGCAGCAACATGAGTACGGTACTTGCTCTTTGTATTTCTGGCAGCCCTAGTAAAGCCACCCTTTGTTATTGGTTTGGTTTTGTGAGTGTGTATGGGAACCCACTGAGGACTATATTCTGAAGGGTGTTAGAGTGTCTACTGTGCTGGTCTCCAGTTGTGTGGTATACCAAGTCTGACAATCCAACTAGAGCAGGGGTATCAAACATACAGCCTATGGACCGGATCCAGCCCACACAGCCATTCCATCTGGCCTCACAGTAGTCCAGTGGGCTACTGGAAGTTGAGGAGTCTGGCCACTGAACCATTCCCTGCCACAGAATGCGGGGACCCTGATGGACATTGCCATCAGCAACAGGGGGCGAGTGACAGCTGTGCAGTTATGGGCCCTGGACCCGTGGTGCTGCCTGCTCCTGGACCCATGCTGCCACCTGTTCCCCCATCAGTGGTACAGCCTGCTCCCCTACCTGCACTAACGCCCACTTCCCCAACCCGTGCTGCTGCCTGGTCCACTACCCTCGCTGCCACTCAATGCCCAACTCGTACTCTTGCCCAATCCCAGACCTGCACTGTCAATGCCAGACCCACTGCAGCTGCTGGCTCCATGGATCCAGCCCAGGAAGTTGGTTCCAGCTTGAGGCCAGGGATGTGTTTGACACCTCTGATCGTGAGGACTGGAACAGCACAGCATGCACAGCTCTGCCTCACACTGGGGCCAGCTGCAGTAAAACCAAAGTTTCATAAACAGATGCAGCTTTAAATTATGTATGTTGAAGCACTGGATTTTCTTCTGCAGGTGGAAGTGTAATGCCAGAACACCCAAGGAAGAGCTGGGGTATAACTGAGTAACAACCCAAAGTAATTTGATTGCAATTTGAGAGGACTGGATTTTTATCTCATACTGGGCATATCTACATGACATTCCTCATCACCTGTTACCATTGTGGCATAATTTCTGGAATAACAACACTCCAACCCTCATTTTATCTTAAAATTTTAGGATTGAAAATATACTTCTAAAAGGGCTCCACCACCCTGCTTCTCTGGACTTACCACTAACCCAGGAAGCCAGACACAGAGAAAACCTGGTGTACTGTCCCACACAAGTGCTTCTAGTACAGGGGACCCTGGTAGTGCTCAGAAAGTAGATGAGGCCGTTGGTCTCTGATGCTTATTTTTTATGTTCCCTTACTGCCTTTCCTGTAACTGTCTGTGAGCAGTGTACTGTCATATTAATCTATAATTCTTTCAGTTTACTGAGATAATTCACCTAGAAAAGCAGAGGACTTTGCTACTGCTACCAGAACTGTTCCAAGTGTCATCTAAATTTCTCCCTATTCAGTCAGGCTTAATCTTGCTAGTTTTTGTTGGGGTTTTTTTAGTGTGCGTGTGTTGGGGGGGGTGTCTAAATACAGTTTTTCAGAATGTTTTTTTTCCTTATTGTTATACAGCTCAATTTTTCACCCAAAACATGGGGCAGGCAAGTACACATGTTTATGTGATCCAGATTAAGAGAGTCACCCAAAACAAGAAGTGGATTTCCAATTGTATGCTCTATGGCTTTGGAATGATTTCAACTTTACAGCTAGCTTTTTCTCTGTAATAGGTTGGATCACAATCCAGGAATCTAGCACAAGTCTCCATAGCTTGAATTTTTTTGGAATAGTTCAAATCTGGCTGTATGGACACACATATATCAACATTTCTTCTTGCCCTGCTCCAAATATTATTTTCTAGAGATGGCCTACAAACTGAGGGAGAAGGTTAATCAGACACCTGAAATTCCAGTCTTAGAAGCATTGTACAAGCTGCTCATCCTCAACATTGCTCCATTTAAAGTTATTTATTTAATTATAGTGAATAAGTTTCTTATGCAAATGAGAAAGCATCCAAACTTTGAGGGAGTTATACCCTAGTTATATTTGCTAGCAATAATTTGATATAGCAGCAAATAATATTTTTTTGCTAGCAATAGTTTGATATAGTGGCAAATAAACAAAACAGCTTGTTTCACACACATTCTTTGTACCAATGTCCCAGCCCCAGTGGTTTTAACTGGCACATACCTTAGAGCTGCACTTGTACAATGGATGACTGATCGAATCGACATAATGGTGCCTCATACAGCGACCTGGGTCAGAGTCAATCATAAATGAACTGTCTGTTTTACTGTCTGTGTCTCCCATTATTGCCAGAAGGGATAACATGGAAATGGAAGCTGCCAGTACATGATTTCCCATTGTTGAAGAACTTCTCAGTAATAACAGCAGAGGGAGTTAAAGTATTAAAAAACCGCCAAACAAGATCCAGCTCCTTTGAAGTACATTGAAAAATCTGGTTTAAATCTCTTGGTTGTCATTGTTCTTTTTGAGTTAGAGTTTGCCGAAGTTGTAATCCATCACAGACTCTCTTCCATAGCTGGAATAAAAACAATATAAATTACAATCTTGACCAAAAAGAGCTCTTGAGAAAAACAGACATAAATAATAACAAGGCTCTTAGGATTTGTCTTAGCCAAAATACACTCACTGAGTGAACATCATTCCCACAGTAGGTACAGTATATGGGATTAGAAAGAGGAGGTCAAGGCCTCGTTACTTTAAGCACTGCTCTATCATTCTAATAATGAAGATTTTTTAAATGTTGCATGTGCTGTGATGCCAGTGTTTTTTACTTGATAATATCTCCAGCGGGTACACTTCAACATTGATGATTTGTAGCACATCTGAGGATGTCTGCAAATTAAAAGAATTGCATATTCACTTAAAATACTGAAAGGCATGTTCCAAGGGACTAGGATAAACTATCTTTTTCATTAAAGATGGAATTTCTGGATCAGGTAACAAGTGAGAATGGATTTGGTGGTCTCATCCCAGTCTCTAGTGGTTGTATATCTCTATCACCAAGACATCACACAGTTTGAAACAAAGAACAGCCTCTGCTCAGAAGAGGCCTGTTAATCAAATGGAAGGGCAAGCCAAGGTGAGGTACATTAGAAGTGTGCTCACTAAGGAAATTTGCAGAGCACCTAGCTGCATTTATTTTATTTCCAACAAGTGTTCTCAGTACCTCACTTTCTTGAATACCAGTCACCCACAGAAAGGTTTACAATGACAATTTTGACACACCTGCTCATCAGCTTGCACTTCCTGAATTTCCTTCTCTCCATCATTAATGAAAGGGCAGGACCTGAAAAAAATACATTATATACCATAATATGCAAGTACATCCCAGTTAGCCACTGGAAGTACAAATTTGCAGATGAAGTCACACGGATTGCCACATTAGTCATCTGGATTTCAGGTGCACATTAGAAACTGCGAGGGGTCCCAAGGATGAAAGAATACCAAGCAGCCATCACAACTGGAGCTCTGCTCCGACAAGGAAAGTACTGCACTTCCCTAAATGTCTTTATCACATTCCCTTGATAGCGCTGTTATGAAGATACATGGCCTTAAACTGGCCATGTGTAATCTTATATTCACTACTAACAGATGCAGTTTGAGGGAACTGTAAATTACTGGCCTAAACATAACTTTAGAAGGCAAAGTAACGTGTTAAGCACAGTTGAAAAGTAGATTAACTTGCTGAACATACATAGCAAACTTATGATAACATATATTTAATACAAACAAAGTTGATGTTTATTTTAAAAGATGATGCCCAGTTTTATTGACAAACATAAGCTCCCTTCATTGATGTCTTCTGCTTTGCTGGCAATATTTTATACTGACTGCTTTCATCTCTAATGTGGAATACAGTGAAGAGGCCTCAGAATGCCATAACCCAGTGGTTTGTATCTAGCTTTATACCTTGCTTTCAGACTTTGGTAAGACAAAAAGGAAAGTACGGATGAGCAGTAAGCTCTTCCTCAGTTAATACAGGTTTGGACTGAACATTTTTTAGGAAGAATCTTGATATTAAGAAGTTTTTGCATTGGAGGAAATGTAATTCATAATGTAAAAAATAGTAGTCATATTATTTTTGTATTAGAGGTAAGAAAATAATGTTTCTTGAGTTTCAGAGTACCATCTACTTGCTAACAGGGAAAGAAAATGTAAACTTGTATGTTACAGATGGTAAACCCTTCCTTGATTTGGGCTATTGCCTTGATGTTTCCCAAAACAAACGTTTTTCAGCTATAGAGAAATTATATTGGAAAGGAGGTATTGTACATAAAAGGTAAAAATTTAAAAAAACCCTGAGGTATTTAGGAACTGAGATCTAGTTATGAACTCTCCTAGTGGTGTCAATGAAATAGTCTTCTACAATTTATCAGGCTATGACAGAAATTCTCCACCCAAAGAAATCAAGCTGATCTCTGTAAAGAATAGGACTGTTAGTTATTAGCTATATAAAATATTGTTAGTTAGTAGCTATAGCTCTGTCTTTTTCCTTCCATCTCATCTCTCCTTTATAAAGTATCTGACCAATTGAGCATTCTTGTCAGTCTCTCTCTGACATAATTAATTAGTACTACCCACCCAGAAATTCCCCCTTCTTCAAAATACATTTCTCTGTAATGAAAACTCCAGTTCATAGCCCCAGTAATTATATGCTTAGAGATTTTCAGTTTCTGTTTTATGTCTCTCAACATATATTTCCTCTCTAAAATTGGTTTCTTGTATCTTCAAATACATTTGCCTAGTATACTAGTTGAAATGAACACAGCTAGGTGCATTCTGAAGTTTTGGCTTGCTTTCATCTTATCTTTAAGTAATTTTTAAGAAATGGAGGACATAGAGACTGATTAATGAAATTGCCCCTCATTGTAAACTAGTGTCATATAAAGGAACAAGGTTGGACGGGAGAAATAGGTTTGCCTCTCATTTCCTGTCCCCATAAGTATACCATGGAATCCATGAAAAGGTAACATGGCTTCTCAGGTTCTAACACTGTAAGGGCATTATACTGAGAAAAGACTGCGCTAGCATGTGCTGCTCTCAGACAGTTACTTTACATGTTTTGGGGTACAAGGCATGTGCAATGGGTGAGCATGCATCACAGCAGTGTTCGCTAATCTGATCTGAAAGTGTTGTAGACAAGCCCTAAGAGTAGGAAGAGGGAAGAGACTAACTTATGGGGTCTTGGCAATACATCGCCAATGAGACAAAAGGACAGAATTAAAATCTTGCACTTCATTAGCTGAGACAGATTTTAAATAAAAACATAGACTACATTTTCAAAAATGTGTGTTTAGTTGTCTGCACATAAAGTGGCAATCTAAATTTGAATGTAGAAGTACAATGACTGCGCACACAGTCGTGGTAATTGCACATATAAACAACTTCTTATTTATCTATGCAGTTGCACACACACTTTTTAAATGTGTGTATGTGTATATTTTTGTATATATGTATGCAACTGCACAGATAAATAAGAAGTTATTTATACATGCAATTACCATGATTTCGTGTGTGTGTGCAATCATGGTACCTCTAGGTTCAAACTCAGCTTGCTAGTATTTATGAAGACACCTGAATGCACACGAGCTGTTTGGAAAATGGATTTGGTCTGAATGGAACATATAGGCATTTAGAAATTACTTTCTATTCCAGATCAAAATGAAAAATCAAAATGTTAAAAATCTTACATAATAAAACATTCTGAAAAAGGTTCAGTTCAGAAACATCAAATTGATTCAACACATAAAATGTTCTTTTTCATTTGCAACTCACATTCTAAAAAGATGTATTCCATTTGAAACTGACATCCCAAAATAAAAAAAATGTGCATTCCCTTCAACGTATTGTCCATAAGGAAATGTTCATGGTTCATTTCTCCTGATCAGAACATTTGGGAGGGGGGGGACACGACAAAATTCTCACATGGCAAAAATTCTATTTAAGTGAAATGCTTGGAGCATGCCTAACTTACACGGAGCACATCTACACAAGTCGCTATGGTGATGTTATTACTGCGTGTGATGTAGTACTTTCAAAGGAAGTGTGATCCTTTGGAAATACTAAATTATGGCACAAAAACAGCCTGTACTGTGCTGTTTGAGTAAAGCACAGTTATTTTTAGCAGCTACTTCGCCATAGTGGTGTGCTATACCAGAGGAGTGCATCACTACCACAAAGTAGCTGCTGGTTACATGTAGACGCCTGCGGATGCTACATCACCATAGTGCATTGCTACAACTACATAGCATCATGTGTAGATGCACCCACTGAGAGCACTGAGTTTATCTCAAAGATGATGCTGAGGGTGTCTGTCTTATGTGGTCCTAGGTCTTCTATGTGGTTCTCACCCACACAGAAGACCTAGGTTCATGGCCTTCCTCAGCCTGGGCAGACTCATACCTGTATCTCTTACTTCTCAGAAGAGTACCACAACCATTGAGTTATAAAACAGGCTGAGTAATAGCACCCTTCCCCCTCTCTTACTGAAGCTGAGACACTGGGCAGCTGCCAAAAAACTGCATGAGCTATGGGGCCAGAAAGAGAACAAGCAAAAAGGAGAACACCTTGGTAGCCCTATGAAGAAAGTGACTCCTAGGAAAAAGAAAGTTCTGGGATCATGCCCCTAGTCCCAGGAGTGTTTATGTGTTTTATATTAGAAAGTCATTGGACAAAACCCATAAATAACTCTGGGAGCAAGGACTAGAACAATAAATGAATGCCCTTGCTATGATTTGGGATTCTTTGGCAAGATGGTGTGATTTTATGAGATCTAGAAGAGAATATCCTTTCTTCTGTATAATTTGGAAAGTGCACAAGACTGAGTAATCCTCCGGGAATCTGTAGGAGTTGCACAGCTTTTGTCTTGCAATATGTGAAGGGAATGAGGCAAGGACTCATTTATTGGGTAGTTCAGGACAGTTTTCCATTGTACAGCTAAATTAGTCATGCACATATGTACCGCTTGGCTTTTTTTAAGTGTGTATTTTAAAAGCTTGAGAAAACTTCCTGCCAAAGGTAGGTGCAATTCAGTTCATTCAGTGTGTTCTATGTTTTAAAAGCTGCCAAAACACAGCCAGAGAAGCAGTGTATAAATATATAGCTCTGCCTTGCCTGTTCTGTATATTTAGTAAACATGATTATTTGGATCCCACCCTTCCCATGTGGTTCCTTCATTTTGTCTTTATTATGTAAACAGGAAAAAACACAACACTGCTCAGCCTTACAGCATTGCAGCTGTAAAAATGTGTCACAAAATTCTTATGACAAAATATATGGCTCACTGTGCTTGTTCTCCAAAATGCTGACGTGACTATTTTAAAAGATGCTTGGGCAAGTTTACCAAGCCTTAAAAAGTTTAGACCAAAGCGATTGAAGTTTTGGGAAGCTACTCAAATCTGGGTTAGAATGGAAATGTTTATTCATTCTCAACTATAAGTTATTCCTTGCTATATTATTGCAATGAGATGCCTGTTAAACAATATTATCAAGTAGAATAAACTATATTATTCAGTCCTTTAGGTAAAGTTTGCCACTCCTGTGAAAATGACAACTACATTCATTTGGTTTAGTGAGCCATGAGCCATCTCTACACAATAAACTTACTGGGCCTGGCTACAGTGCCCTCTAACATGTAAACTGTGTAGCTGGGTACTTGCCTTACCAAGGGCAGGCTGACTGGGACTGGGGAGGAGTCACTGGCAGTGTCACTCACGAGCCCTAAAGCAGTGAGTGTGCTACTGCGAGCCTCAGTAAGCCTGGCTACCATGTAGACATGACCATCAATCTTCAGAAACCGGAGGGATGGAATTTCCTTCCAATCCAGCAGAAGGGAAGTAGTAGCTCACTACATTCCTATAAGCAGGAAAAATGGTTAGTGCTATTACACATGTGATGGACCTGCAGAGCAGGCACTTGTACTATTCTCCCCACAGTGAGGAACTAATGGACTCAGTTCATTTCAGAGTTCCTGTATACAGCCTCTCTGGACCTGTCTATATCATGATAGCAGTGGGTAATGAGGAGGGTGGGAATGAGACCATTCCACACATCTGATTCCACTGACATGATCCAAAGCCATACATTTGCCCATAAGGCTGCTTTGGGCTTATCCCCCTTACCTACTCTTGAACCCTCAGTATTCAATGGATCTGAAAGCAGGTGCTGGACACAATTGCAGAGCAGTCTCATGGGTGAACTTCTATTTCTGAAATGAGTCAGCAAGCTCAAGTGGGCAGTAAGTGCTCAGTCCCATCCTCTACAAGACCCAACATAGGCTTGCTATAG